ACCCCAAGCTGGCCACTTCTGTCTACAACAGATCACGGTCATCTACCCTGGGCACATTGGCCTCCCTCACTACACACATAATTAAGCACCGACCGCTACAGCCCTGGCAAACAGACAATACCAGATGCCTAAAAAAAAATGTAGCCGTGCTCTTGAGCGTTTATGGCGTAAGACTAAGACCCAGCTAGATTTCGACCAATATAAATCTGCCCTTCAAAAATACAATTCCTGTCTCCACTGCCAAACAGACCTATTTTATCACTCTCATTAACACCCTCTCACGCAATCCCCGTCAACTCTCTTCTACCTTCAACTCACTACTTCGTCCTTCTTTACTCCCTCACCCTACACTCCTTGTCCACCTGCACAATCTATACTTCCCTTGTTTATCAACCTTCTCTATAGTAGATGGGTTACTTTTTCTAAAGGCCACCTAACCACCTGTTCCCTGGACTCTGTTCCCTCGCAAATACTACGGTCACCCTCTGGCTCTATCCTTCATTCTTTAACTCATATCTTCAATCTCTCCCTTTCTACTGGTATCTTCCCCAACTCTCTAAAACATACGCTAGTTACAGCAACGATACTTTCACAACTGAGAGAATGGTTTAATAACTCATCTATTGTTACATTGTGGAGTCAAATAGAATCTACCTACATTCAAGGAGAGAATCTAAGTGCATGGCTCCTGGGAATACCCCTAGGGATGCCGATCTCACCCACTCTCCCCCTGCCTATTATAGCGACAATCTCTGCATAGCGGATTCTCATCTGTGCTCCTTGTCCTTCCATGCAAGCAGTGATGCCTAATCTTCCTTTGCACATTTTACTACATCTTATTGAAGATATTCCTATACGCCACTTGTCTGCATGCGGCATAGCATACATTCAGGATTTTTTTTAACAAACTCTTCTCTTAAATCATTCGCATCTCTTCAACAAGAATTCCACCTACTTCCCCAATTACTTTTCACCTACCTTAGTATATCCCATTGCCTATCTAAACAATCCTACCCCTTTTACAAACTTCATAAACCCGCTTGGAACTATATCTCTCACTCTACTGCTATTTCACTTTTCTATAATATCTTAAACCAAAAGAAATTATTTACTATGGTTTAAACCACTTCTCCAATACTGAGCAACAGTGGCTTCACGCATTACAATCAATTTACCGAGTTACCTGCTGCTCGACACTTTGGGAATTAACACAAAAAATATCCCTTAGATGGCATCTCACTCCCATTAAAATGGCACATTTAATAACCATGTATCCCCTTTGTTCCAGAGGAACTGCGGGAACCCTGAGAGCTTTATTCACATCTTTTGGCATTGTCCGCTCCTAAACTACTCTGTTCTACGATTTTTAACATTTGTCAGCTATTTCACAGTCCTATGTTCCCCTAAATCCGGATTTTAGTGTTACTGAATTTAAATATTGACAGTATTAACCCCCATGCTAAACACTCTGTCACCCACTATCTTTAAGCAGATAGATTGAGTATCACTAGATCTTGGAAAACCTCTCATCCGCCCACTGCGTTTGATTCTATCGCATTAGTTCACAGGCATTGTACTTATGAACTTGCGATGGCTTCAAGCAAAAGTAAATATAGAAAAGTACTTGGCCTATGGCAACCTTGGTATCAAACAAACCCCACCTGCGTGAACACCTCACTTTGGAAGAACGTTCTTTAGCTGATCTCTCTAAGCTTTGACATTTTACATGTAAACGTTATTGTGTCACTGGTCTTTGTATGATTTTTTTTTTTTTTCTCTGTTCTGTTTACCTGTTTTTTTTTCTAATTTTATCCATGACAATCACCTCAAGCATCCATGACTGTAGAATGTTTATCTACTGCATACGGGTATATCTTGTATTTCTATGTAAAAGTTTCCAATACAAATTATTGAAACATAAAACATGCGCTAGTTGCCCCCATACTTAACCAATTCAATACCGGGCAATTTTACACCTTCCTGCCCAGGCCAGTTTTCAGCGCTCTCACACTTTGAATGACAATTGCACGGTCATACAACATTGTACCCAAACTAAAATTTTATCATTTTCTTCACAAAACTAGAGCTTTCTTTTGGTGGTATTTAATCACCGCTGGGGTTTTTATTTTTTGCTAAATTAAAAAAAAAAAAGACTGAAAATTTTGAAAAAAAAACACGTTTTTCTTTGTTTCTGTTATAAAAGTTTGCAAATAAATAATTGTTCTTCATAAATTTAGGCCAAGATGTATTCTGCTACATGTCTTTGATGAAAATAACCCATATTAGGATGTATTTTTTAGTTTGTAGGAAAGTTATAGAGTTCACAAACTATGGTATAGATCTGAATATTAATCAATCCTGAAGTACTGACAGCCAATCTAATTTCTTGAGGTCCAAGAATGTCAGAACAGTATAGATATCCCCCAAATGACCCCTTTTTGCAAAGTAGACAGTCCGACGTACTTCATAAGAGGCATGGCGAGTTTTTTGAAGTTGTATTTTTTTTGTCATAATTTTTCGGAAAATGAAAAAAATTTAAAAAATTAGTTTCACTATTTTTTTTTTACATATTGTCACCAGTGCAGTTCAGCGTCATCATATAACTGGCATGGCGGTGATCGAGGACACTGACTGGTGACAGTATGACAAAAAAAAATATTTTTTTTTTTCTTTTTTTTTATTCAATTTTTTTCTTTTTTTTTTAAAGATTTTTTTTATCATATTTCACTATGACCAAAGTAGTACAATGTTACCATAGTAACATTGTACTACTTTGGGGAAGTGATCAGTATTTTATAAAATTTTTTTTTTTTACACAATTTGCTTATAGCAAAGAATTACTTTGCTATAAGCAAGCATTTAAGCATTTACCTGAATGACATCGATTCATTCAGGGTTTTTTTTTTTTTTTTTTTTTTTTTTTTTGTGCTTAGCTGTGATTTGGCCACAGCTACTCACATGACATGTGCATGTGATTAGCTGTGACCATTCACAGCTAGACACTAGTATACAATGGATGGCATGAATGAAGCCATCCATTGTATACAACTGTCATGTGACCTGCTGTGATTGGTCACAGCAGGTCACATGGTACCGGCAACGGGGGCCGATACTCAGATCTGTCATCGGCCGTGTCCCCGCGTACAGAGCCGATGACAGATCGCACCGTTGCGCGGCTCTGCAGTAGTGCAATCTGCGCATGTGCGGGAGGACGCCATATGGCGTCCACCCGGAACGCTGATGACATTTGCCGGCCGCCATTCGGCCATAGGGCGGGCGGCAAATGGTTAAAAAGGCCTCACTGGACCCCACCAATTTTGGCAGCCTAAGACCCATGTCCTTACTCCTTTTTGCCTCCAAACTTCTTGAATGTCTAGTCCACAACTGGCTGAGCTGCCACATTATTGAGAACAACCTTCTCGATCCCCTTCAGTCTGGATTTCACCCACAACACTCCACAGAAACTGCTCTCCTAAAACTCAGAAACAGCTTACTAACAGCTAAAACCAATGATCACTATTCCGTATTCTTACTCATGGACCACTCCGCTGCCTTTGACACAGTTGGCCACCTTCTCCTCCTCAGAAAATGATTTACTTGCTCTCCGTGACTGTACTCTCCATTGGTTTGAATCTTGCTTATCTCAGCACATCTTCAGTGTCACTTAAAACTCTACTGCCTCCTCTCCTACTCCTCTTAATGTCGGTGTCGCCCAAGGTTCTGTCCTTGGACCTCTCCTTTTCTTAATCTACACAGATCACTTCCCATGGTTTCCAATACCATTTCTATGCTGATGACACACAAATCTATCTCACTACTTCTCAGCTCATCCCATCAGTTTCCTCACGTATCTCTGATTTACTAACAGACATATCAAACTGGATGTCACACCACTTCCTAAAACTTAACCTATCCAAATCTGAGCTCATAATATTTCCTCCCCCACGTGCCTCTTCTCCTGATTTCTTAGTCAAGATCAATAGCACCACTATCAACCCATCCCTGCATGCCAGGGTGCTAGGGTTAGCCCTGGATTCTGAACTATCCTTTCAGGCCCACATCCAATCCCTGTCCAAATCATGCCGCCTCAATCTCCGCAACATCTACAGAATGTGGCCCTTTTTAACCAATGATACCACAAAACTCCTAATTCACTCTCTGGTTATCTCTCACCTCGACTACTGCAACTCCCTCCTCATTGGCTTACCTTTACATAGGCTATCCCCCCTCCAGTCCATCATGAATACTGCTGCCAGGCTCATCCACCTTACCAACCATTCAGTGTCTGCTACCCCTCTCTGCCAATCCCTCCAGACCTAAATCCAATTGAGATTCTGTGGCAAAACTTGAAAATTGCAAAATAGCTCAAGCTCTGTCAGATTGGATGGGGAGTGTCTGTGAGCAGCAAAGAATGGGAAAAAATGTCACTCTCTAGATGTGCAAAGCTGGTAGAGACATACCCAAAAAGACTTGCAGCTGTAATTGTAGCAAAAAGGTGGTTCTACAAAGTATTGACTCTGGGGGGCTGAATACAAATGCACACCACACTTTTCAGATATTTGAAAAAAAATTTTGAAATTTTATCATTTTCCTTTCACCTCTCAATTATGTGCCACTTTGTGTTGGTCTATCACATAAAATCCCAATAAAACACATTTTAGTTTTTGGTTGTAACATGACAAAAAGTGGAAAACTTCAAGAGGTATGAATAATTTTTCATGACACTGTTAAATGTGTTTATCTGAGGGATAAAAAAAAGATCTCAGAGTTTTATTTTTATTTTGAGTGTCTTGCGATTTTGCTTATTTTCATTATTTACCTTTTTAAAACTAGCAAATAGAACTTACAAGGCCTCATACGCACTGGTTTAATTTAGATACAGTTTTTCCTGACAGGAGAAAATCAGAGTTATAAACTCACCTAATTCCTAACTACAAACTGCATCAAGAATATAAATGTAGAAAAAATAAAGTGCACCAAATATAGCATATCATTTTTGTCATACCTTCCAAAAATGCAAATTCATCAAAGGCATCTACTGCATTATCTGAAATAGAAAAAATAGAAAAAAAGTGATGTTATGTATTAACGGGATAAATGAAAGTGTTCAACTTTGCCACTACCAGAGTTCTAACCCAATTTTTTTTCTCCAAATGTCAAATACAGGTGTAACCTGACTATGATAAAGATTTGTCTCCCTCACTCTCCCTGCTGCTATCCCAATGTTTTTTTTTCTACCTGCTATACTTCACCGATATCCCCCTATTTTGGCTACACCTTATGTAACTTTTTTTCCTGATGTTCTATTAATTTAGTTTTCAATTCCAGAACTCGTTTTTTACCTTTTGATGTCCTGTACACCCAAAAAGACTACCAACACACAAAACATATGTTAGATACATTAATATTACTAATACCATGATTATATGTACCTACGAAGGCTATTGAGATTCTATGCTGTAAGGTAAAGGTCTTGAACTGATATACATGCTGTCAATTCATTTATCATGCATTTCTTTGTAATATTTTTAAATTGCTTTTTAGGCAATAAAAGTTTTGTGACAACCGATTTAGGACTCCTAATATGACCTTTTGATATTCTGTTTTACAAGTGGCTTCTTTACCTGTGAGGTTCTTGTTTTATTAGGTTATTTTAACTAGGTAGTTCATTGTATATTATGAATGCTGCATCTAAAGTTACGTTCCTCTCACTAATACAATAATTTTATTAGTATACTTCCTATTATTAATTACTGGTCTTACTTTATTTATACAAATATGTATTTCATATGCAGAGCTATTTATAACTTAACACTTTACGGTCAGGTCCGTACATCGTATTGACCTGACAGCGGGCGGCTTTACACACACTCAGTGGTTGCAGCCACCAGGAGTGTGTGTATATCAGATGATGAAAGTGATCCAGCAGCTGGGTGGCCGCCCAATCGCTTCCAAACACCTGTGGTATTGGCCAAAGAGAAAGATCCCTGAGCATCAGACAGCTCATGCATATAAAGGACTGTGGACAACTGAGACTAATGAGGTCTGGCTACCATGTATGATGTGGACCTTGGAATGGAGGCTTTTGCTCACCCAAAGCTCTACAAAGACTCTGGGCTCCAGTACCTAACAGAACTTATGGTCTGAGACAACAAAAAATTTGAGTTGGTATAAAATATTTAGGATTAGTACAGTACTGAAACTGCCCCACTCCCTCCTTAACTATCAATGAATAGAAATTTTTTTTAAAAATGACAATTTTTTTCACTTGTAAAGTGCTAATGCTGAACAAAAAAGTCTAACAGTGGCTATTTTCTCATTTACATACAGTAAGTGCCAATGTGTGAATAAAAATACAAGTCACTTATGTGTGAACAAAACACAAAGTTCACAAGAACAATTAATTATTAATATTAGTCGATCACACTTCAACCTTGTGGGCTTACAGTGAAGGAAAAAGTATTTGATCCCCTATCATTCAGCAGGATTTCTGGCTACCCTGTGTCTTTCATACAGGTAACAAGCTGAGATTAGAAGCAGTCTCTTAAAGGGAGCGCTGTTAATCTCATTTTGTTACCTGTATAAAAGACATCTGTCCACAGGAGCAATCAAACAATCAGATTCCAAACTCTCCACCATGGCAAAGGCCAAATAGCTGTCCAAGGATGTCAGGGACAAGACTGTAGACCTACAGAAGGCTGGACTGGGCTACCAAACTATCGCCAAGCAGCTTAGTGAGGTGACAACAGTTGGTGCAATCATTCGCAAATGGAAGAAACACAAAACTGTCAGTCTCCCTAGGTCTCGTGCACCATGCAAGATGTCACCTCGTGGAGTGTCAATCATGAGAACAGTGAGGAATCATCCCAGAACTACACGTGAGGATCTTGTCAATGATCTCCAGGCAGCTGGGCCCACAGTCACCAAGAAAACAATTGGTAACACACTATGCTGACAAGGATTAAAATCCTGCAGTGCCCGCAAGGTCCCTCTGCTCAAGAAAGCACAAGTCCAGGACCATCTGAAGTTTGCCACTGAACATCTGAATGATGCAGAGGACGACTGGTTGAAAGTGTTGTGGTCAGATGAGACCAAAAATCGAGCTCTTTGGCATCAACTCAACTCGCCATGTTTGGAGGAGGAGGAATGCTGACACCAAGAACACCATCCCAACTGTCAAACATGGTGGTGGAAACATTCTGCTTTGGTGGTGTTTTTTCTGCTAAGGAGACAGGACAACTGCACTGCATCAAAGGGACAATGAACTGGGCAATATCAAATCTTGGGTGAGAACCTTCTTCCCTCAGCCAGGGCATTGAAAATTGGTCCTGGATGGGTGTTCCAGCATGACAGTGACACAAAACAAAACACATGGCCAAAACAACAAAGGAGTGGCTCAAGAAGAAGCGCAATAAGGTCCTGGAGTGGCCTAGCCAGTCTCCAGACCTTAATCGGATTGAAAATCTTTGGAGGGAGCTGAAAGTTCGAGTTGCCAAACGTCAGCCACCAAACCTTAATGACTTGGAGAGGATCTGCCAAGAGGAGTGGACCAAAATCCCTCCTGAGATGTGTGCAAACCTGGTGGCCAACTCCAGGAAATGTCTGACCTCTGTGATTGCCAACAAGGGATTTGCCACCAAGTACTAAGTCATGTTTTGTGAAGGGGATCAAATACTTATTTCCTTCACTGTATCACATATAACACCTTTTACAAAATATCTGCTCTTTCCGTGCATTGCCACCGCGTTTTGCTCTTCATGATCCTTTTAGCCACCCCCCCCCCCCCCCTTCTATAATGGACCTATAAGACCAAACCCACTCTCTCCCTTAAATGAGAAGTATGGCCAAAGTTGAAGGTCACAGCTAAAGACCATTATCGGTGGATGTCAGAGCCAGTTCAGGCTCTGCAGTGATCCAATTATGTCGGGATCCACCCAAACTGCCTGATCGGCACCTGGCGCAGCCTCTTAGCATGCAGCCAAGAGCCTAAGCTAGCCACTTCCACCTCCTCCACCGTCTAGTGTTGCAGTGGAGGGACAGAGCAGAAAGCAATGACTGAAAGTCACCGCTCTGTGCTCAGAGAGGATCTGAGAAATGAGTGATCAGAGGTCTTTGATTGCTCGGTTCTCGTAGTAGAGACAGCGGGGTACAGATGCAGCTTGGAACGATGCTGCAGCCAACTAGGTGAATATGTATGTTAAATTTTTTTTATTCCTGAACTTTTCTCTCTTCAATAGGAAATCAACAGACACCATGATCAGCTTTCACACATCCAGATAAACCCAATCAGAAACTCGGAAGTATATGAAGAAAGGAAAAGTGCACTCCCATTGAGCACATAGTAGTTGTTTTTTTTTTTTGTGACAATGTTAGGTGCTGCTGCTATTGTGCACATTGATTTTAATCAATAGAAAAATTAAATTTGAAACCTATAAGCCCATATACACAATCCTATACCCACAAATTTTCCAGAAGGTGGCAAAAAAGCCCTATCAAGCAAGTCCAATTTCTTCCAGAGGGGACAAATTCCTTTTTGATCCCACAGGTGATTGATTCCCTGGATCAGCAAACTAGTGTTATTACCTACAAAATGTTAATATCCAGTTATATTTTGAACATTTAGGAATGCATCCAACTCTTTTTTTAAAAAAAAAAATACTCAACTGGCCAGAATTAGTTCTTGAGGGAGTTGACTACACATTTTCACAGATTTTGCTTTGAAGAAGCCTTTTCGTATGTGGAGGTTAAACCTCTTTTCCTCCAGATGTAAGACTGGCCCCCCTCCCTTGTCCTTTACAATGACCCAAAAGTGAATAACTCCACTTAATGTTCATTATATAGGCCACCTGTGTATTTATCTATGGTGATCATATCCCCCTCAGCCAGTCCAGCTCTTTAGGCGTACGTAGTACATCCAAATAGTGGCTGGTTAAGCACAGGCTGCTACTGCAGCCTTCAGTTTGTGCCCATTTTCCTCATCCAGATCCTGGCTGAACAGTGAAAGTGTACAGTGGCTGATCAGGGCTCTCCCTCTTACCAGGAGCTTGGGAACAAATCAGAGGGCTTCAAAATGGCAAGCAGTAAAAGGTGGAGGATCTCCGATCAGAGCAGTCATTAACTGACTGATACAGCCAAGAAAGCATGTAACCAAGACAATCTCAGACCAGCACTAAACAGTCTGTAAAAATTAGAAACAATGAAATTAGATGCATTGTTGTCTATGGAATAATGCACATAGCTGAGTAAAAATCAGTAATACGGAGATGAGTATTTGAGTGCATTCATTTATGCTCATACGCATGTTTACACAAGTATAAAATTAGTATATTACAACATTGGCAATGAAGGATTTTACTCGTCCATATGCTTAAGCACCCCTACATGTTTATACAAGGTCTTTACAGAACATTTTACTCAGGATCTGACAACAAGATCCTGAGTATAAACATAAGTAAATTAGTACGCCTGTGTGCAAACTGCCCTTTTGTCTTAATGTTTCTGGACCACATCTAATTTTAGCCATTGTGGTTCTTTTGTGGCTATGTCAATACTATCTCCATTATGAACTTTAGCTCCCTCATTTTCCTGCTGAAAGAGGTATTTAATTTGTCTTCTATGTCACCAACTGTAAATCATCTTGTAAGGGGCCTAGATGCCCAGACCTGATTTCTTTTACCATTAATATATTTAAAGGATTTTTGGGGATCGTCCTACTCTTTTTCCAACCTGTCATTTGTTTTGGATTTTTGTGGCCTTAATTTCCTTTTTCATAGTGTTACAAAATGTAAAAAAAAAAAAAAGTAATATTTCATTAAATACACATTGATACAGTGTTTTCATATTTGAGTACCTGTCCAGACAAATATCATGAAATGAGTTTGATGCTTTTAGTATGAACTGAAAAGTGCATCTAAAATGAACATTTTAAAAATGTACATCTAAGTCATAAATAATGTTTTTTTCTTAAATGTCACCCACGAGTCCTTAAAGAATTGAGCTCTGTCATTTCAAAGCCTTTGTTTCTAATTTTTAGGGACTCTTTCATGA